ATCGATCTTTCTGCACGATGGATAAAGCTAATGACTATAAGGTAACTTAATCTTTAATTAATTAATCTTTAATTTAAACTCAAATCTACTTTGTTATAAAGACAGACTACCAGGAAATTCCATAACCTTAAAGAGGAAATCAAGTATTTTTTAATTTTTAAACCTACTCAAATCTAATAAATTTCCTTCGTAATCCACCTTTTGATCCTTTGAATATAAATAAATGGAAAATCAATTTAATACCTCATTTTCGTTACATAAAACACAGCAAAAATTAGCAAAAGTGATTTGCATTACCATGAATAATTCGTCTTTCCACATGCAAAATCGGAGGGGTTGTAGGGGAGGGGGAGGGGAGGGGGAGGGGAGAGGATATGGGGAGGGGAGGGGAGGGGGGAAGTGTGGCCTCTTTGGTAATGTTTTCTTAAACACTTGTCAATATTCTAATTTTGGTGCTCAAAGTAAATAAGTTTCGATCATGATATACATGAGAGATAAGGTCATGTTGCATGCATTTTTGAAGCGAAATGTGCATAATATACGTGCAGTATGTTATTAGTCGTTTACTACTGTGAGCAAATCTTTTCCAGTTTCCCAAATTTTAGGTGAAAAATGTTTGACCTGTTAATAGGCACTGGCATAGTAAAATGGCATTTATTTCACAACTCAAAGAATATTAATCGTCAGGTGGGGTGTAGAGCAAATTTCAGCCCGATAATCATTTATTTATATCAAATGGCAGACGTTTTTGCTAGTTATCATTAGCCCTTTAGTTGACTTCAAGCTTCACAGAGGGGAAGGAACACCAAGGTGAAAAAAGTCGAGAGGGGAGGAACAGAAGAGGGATGCCTTGATGAAAAGGAGAAAGGCACAAAGGTAGAAAAAGGTAGGGTCAGTTCTGTGGAAGTGGTCGAATATGACATGCAGTCGGGTCATGGTAGTTTGAAGTCAGAAATCAACTGCCTTTCAGCAATGAAACATTAATTTTCTCTCCTTAAATTATGGTGGTTCCGAAATGAATATCAAAGGAAATATTTTCTCCCCGAAATTGTTTTGGCGCTTTGAATTTAGTGGGACCCCTAGAACTTTCACTAGTCTCAAGTAATTTTCAGGAAAAAAATTTTAATACACTTGATTAGAAGGGGACAACGATCTTGAAAGGCATGAACCCGCCGATGTCTTTCCACACAATGAAGGCCTTAATCAGGAGAGAATTCCAGACCTCAAGGTACAACGAACTTAAAGCTCGAACAAAGGAGAAACAGTGGACAGTGGCACTCTCCGACATACCGTTGCTGAGTTTAGACTACGTACCGGATACGATTGCCTGGCAAAGCACCTTCACAGATTGGGAGTATGCACTCAAATCACATGCCCCTATGTAACCTACAGGAGGAAATGGAGAAGACTCACCCGATTCGGTGTCCAGCCCTAAAGACAACGACGGAAACCCAGAGATATTGGGAAGAAAAAAGGAGACAGCTAATGAACTGCTATTAATTAATTGCTATATATGTAACCCCCACCCATGGGGAAACCGGAATTCAAAGTTAAAGGGCTAATGATAAATATCATAAAGCCTGCCATTTGAAAAAATATTTAAATGTTTCTTTCATATTTTCATGTTTTTTTAGAATTTCAAAACATCACGTCAATGCGGACGAAAACCGGATAGTTCCTAAGAAAAATAGACCCTGATCAGATCTCAACTAACTGTTAAACCACTCTCGAGGTACCAATCCAATATTTCATGGTAAAAGTTATTTTTTTTTATTTCCTGCAATAGATGAAAAATCGCATTCACTTAACTTCTGAGGTAATATATTTTCACATTTTTTCGAAGCGGCAATGTAATGCCGGATGTTTAGGTGAAATAGGCATATTTCCAGCGAGGTCACCTAGTGCAGCATAGACATTTTTCTCATTTTGGAGAGAAATGTTCGTGGTGTAGGGTAAAAAGGTCAAAAAATGTGTGGCAGTTCAATGAAATGCAAATAATGGTTATGGGTGAATGGGAAATCAACAGCCTTGTTTGTTTGTTTTTTTTGTTTATATTTTTATATTAAGAATCAAATTAAAGCAAATAGCAAGGGAGCATAAACACGAGGTCAAACACCGTGATAAACACATATTTTCCGCGGTGTTTTAAAAGTGAAGCATCTACTGTCTGTGTTTGTCAAGGGGATCTAGCGCGTGTTTGCAGAAATCAAATTCAAATTGGTCAGTTAGTAGAATTTTCCCAAATATTGAAATGCAATTTGGAAAATAAATTTCTTAACCACTTAAACCCGAAGTATGTTTGCGACAGAAAGTCCTCGCCCTATCTAAAGCCTGAAAAGTATTTATTTTTTGGTACTCATGTAGGTTAGGATTGAATTAAATTTTTAGTCATTTCCACGTCGTCTCTAATGCCAAGATCAGAAGCTCCTTCTTAAAACACTTGCATTAATTACTGCAAGTTCGGGGTCACTTTCCAAGGAGTGGAGGGGGGGGGAAGGGGGTTGAGCTACGGATTCCCTCTCCCCCCCCCCCCCCCCCCCCTCCTATGTTTAACTTAGTGTTTGCATTCGTCAGTCGAAGTCAGGTAGGTCTGAGGTCATCCAGCGCTTCCTTTCCTAAATCCAATTTTTCATAACGCACGGTTGAAAAGTGCCATGGGCCCCAAGTTTAGGATTTTGGAGACACTTGATTATGTTCCAGTGTGGGGTGTGCGATAGACTAACCTCCATGTGATGCACCCTGTGCAACGTATACACATACGGCGAAAAAGTCTATCAACCGGCAGTTGACTTCTCACTTCAAACTGCCATGACCCCACTGTATGTCATATTCGACTACTTCCATAGTACTCACCTCACCTTTTTCCTACCTTTGTGTCTGTCTCTTTTACATCTTTAAAACACTCTTCTGTTCCTCCCCCCTCTACTTTTTTTCACTTTGATGTTCCTTCCCTCTGTGAAGCCTGAAGTCAACTAAAGGGCTAATGATAACTATCAAAACGCCTGCCATTTGATATCAATTATAAATGTTCCAGTATATATTCGATAAGTAATGTATTGATTGAATAGTGGCACAATTTTATTTATGCATTGGCGTTTCTCTTGGTGATAGGTGGTGTTCAGCTTCCACTGTATGCCATAAGGTACTTTCATGAATACCCTTTTGCATATAATCATATGGTTTCGAAATAGTAGGTATTTTATTTTAAAATTTCTCATTTTGCAAGGCCTTTTAAGCCATCTTTGATCAGAGATTGATAAATTCAAAATAATATCAGTGAAATAGGTTGATAGTATAGGTAATATATGGGTACTGGATATGCATTCTATTTTTATGAGGTAATAAAGTTATTTACATTGGAAAATGTTAGAGTTTAGTTTGGAGCGCACGATGGCATAGAATCGATAAGGGGAATCAGCTGTTAAAGGATAAATTGCGTTTGAAAAAGTCGGTTTTAAGCATGTGTTTTCCAGATCGATTTGAAATATCCTTATTTAAGAAGCTAGCACCAATCTAATTCCCGCGTGTCAATTTCACGACGGTGACGTACATTCAAAACAGGGGGCGTTTTCTCTATAAGTAATGTCTGTTTTTTTCTAATTTTAACTCACAACGAAGCATTCTTAAAGACTTTAACAACTGAGAAAGTGGTGTGAAACTTCAATCAGGTTACACCGCTTCCTACTAAGGTGGGAAAAAAATTGATTTCCATCGAAACCTTATTTTTCTCAAAATGCTGAACATGTGATAAAAGTTCAGTTTTCCTTCATTGAAAGCAAAAAATGACTTTTATCAAACAAAGCCCTTCGAAGAAAGCCAATTGTTTACTGCGTTTTGTTTTTCCACCATTTTTTACTATTCAATGTGCATCGGTGCGCCATGTTGGAGAAATTAAAGCCCCATATCTCGATTGAATTATTGGTGTGGAATTGGAAAGGTGGAAACCAGCTCCATGCCCCCCCCCCTCAGATATAGCAACGAGAAGATAATAGGGACCACAAATAGCCAAGTGGAGTCTTGGCACTTCTAAAGTACATTCAGTTGTTATTCTTTTGTCCTTTTAACCTAATTCCATTATCAAGGCTTCTTCCAGAAGTTACCCAACAAGTAATGTCGCTGCATTAGCATGAAGCCAACTGGCCAATTTATCCAGAAATTGGAAATCAGTAAAATATCTTCAACCGAAGGCCTGGCAACCCATCCTCTCATTTAGTAAATACTTAACAGAATTCTTGCCGCCAAACCCCCTCCAGTCAAACTCTGGAAATGCACTACCTGGTTAAAAACAGAGCTGAAATATGCTGAGAATTTTACAGTAACTTTTTTTCACAGAGAGGGAGAGAGAGCTATTTAAAGGAGGTGGAGAGAGCACTTCTCAACTCCGAGTTTTGAACCCTCTTCGATTTTAACATTTTATCTTATTGCTCAGTTTTTATAAAGTGCTATTAACAACGATTTCACTAACCTGCACGTGGTGCAACCTGGGCGACGCATACTCATGCAGCAAAAAAGTCCCTTAATCGGCAGTTGACTTCTGACCTCAAACTGCCATGACCCCACTCTATGTCATACTCGATCACATTCACAGTACTAAGTACAGTAATAAATAAAGCAAGGTAGAATTGGCATTATCTCCAACATTTTTTTGTATATTGACCTTGAGGTCAAGATTACCTTCAGTCATTCATCTTAGTAGCATTTTGCAAAATATATGCAAACGGAAGAAGAGGGTTACAGAGAGGAAGGTACAAATACATTACATTATAATGTGGGGACGCAGTTGGAGGAGGAAGGGAGGAGAGAGGAGAAAAGAGGGTGGGTGGGGGGGGGGGGGGGGGGGGGGGGNGGGGGGGGAGGGGGAGGGGAGAAAAGGGGAGGGAAGAAAGGAGGGAATGAGGACGGGTTTGGAGAATAGGTCCATCAAAATGCAATGGGGAGAAGGACAAATGGGAAAAAAGACGAAGGTGAAACGATTTATTTTCTTTGATCCTACGCCAATTCTAATGTTTCATCACTATTGGAGGATTATTCGGATTCACTTTCGACTCTGAATCGCCCCCAAGGCCAAACATGGAGGATTCGAAATCCATCCCAATTGATCGATAGAGCTCAGCCTGTGAAGTCGATTGGGTTGAGAGTGGATCAGGATTCTTACTCACGAGAGCTTTATTTCTAAGCGTTCGAAGTAACTCTTCTTGAGCACACTATAATAACATTTTTAAACAATTTAAATCGCAAATATTGCGCATGATGTAAGAATCAGAACGTCGGAACTTACATCGAGTTGGATAGTTGCGCCATTTTCAGTAAAAGGAGCGGTATTTGGAGGGACAAATTTCTGAAGATCGGATTCGGATGCTCTTCTACTCAATGACCCAGATCTGCTTCTCAAGAACGAGGCAGCGAGGTTGGGCAACTGAGTAGGGAAAGTATCAGGTGCCGTTGTGCCCATTGGAGGATTGGAACTCATGTTATGTTGAAGAAACAAAGGAGGCAAAAAGGGATTTCTTGTTCCATTTTCACTCAAATTACAGTAATTCTGGAACTGAGAGTAGATTTGAGCTACCGGTGTGGAGGAATTACTATTTGGAATTACGGCTTCCGATCTTGATGGATGATTTAAAAACGAGTTTCTAGCTAATAGGATACTGGAGGCAAGTATACTATCGTCTCGAGTGAGCAAACCCGTAGATACCACAGGATTTCCGAAGAATGAGAGGTCACCCGACAAAACGCTAGAAAGAGAAGAGAAAAAAGTCATTCAACTAAAAATAACTACCACGTTTCTTAAAAATTTCCAGAATTAAGGCCCCATCAAATGACCCAACCATCACTGACAGTTTGGAGCCGCCTTTTTCAAACAGAAACTCAGGCAAAAAGCACCGAACTTTAAACCTCTTGGAAGATACAGACAGCGTCATTGTTGCTTTAAGAAAGGTAGATTACAGTCTCACATTTCCAGCATCTCTATTAATAGCTTTTCAAAGATTTGCCACAGAGTGAACTTTTTAAGCGGACGAATTGTTGAGAGGGAATGCCAAACAATGTATGCAGTTGTATCATTTAATACACTGCTATACTAACCCTGGATCTGGCAACTATCTATTGACTCATATTTAGGAAATTGAATTAAGAGGGCGATTATCTCACCTTGTACCTGTGTGCGAACAAGTGCACACAAAAGGACTTGTTTATATTCACACACCCGGAAGTACACACACACACACACACGAGTAGTGCTTGAATTGGTTCAATGTGTGTGTGTGTGTGTGCGTGTAAGAAGGTGGGTGGTGGATAGAGGCAGGACAACACAACACTGTGGTGTCTGTTTACATGGGGAATTGCGTGTGCTTTTGTTTGCATTTCCGATGAGTAATAGCAGGAGTGCAGAAAGGAGGTGGAAAGGAGTTTTGTATTTCCACAATCAAGGACAATCCACATTCTTACAAACACAAACACAAACACAACAACGAAAAATCCACAAAAGCGAACACAAATATAAACAAAATTAAGGTAAACAGGGGGGGGGAGTGGGGGGGGGGGTTGGTTGTTTGT